CCTTAAGCCACTATACCACCCATTTTTTGTGTTGGGTTTATTTGAAATAGCATCTCACAAACTTGCCCAGGCTGGCTTCGAACCATGATCCTCCTGATCTCTGCCTCTGAAATAGCTAGAATTGCAGGCATGAGCCACTGGCACCCGGTTTATTATATTCTAGTTACTAGTGATGCTTTTAGCCTCATTTTTTTTGTTTAATAAATACTTACTTGGTACCTATGATGGCTAGGCACTACAGTAAGCATATAAAGATTTAACAGTGATCATATATTTTTCGGGGTTGGGGGAGTCAGAAGGAGCAAAGCAAGTTAGCAATCACATAAGCCAAATATTTTAAAATTGTGATGTTATGGAAGAAATGAAGAAGGTTGAGTTGAATCTGTGGTCCTCAGGGGTAATCTCTCTCCCCCATCCCATTTAGGTCCCCTCAGGGGACACCTGGCAATGTCTGGAGACATTCGTGTCTCTCATAACCTTTGGGAGGGAGGATGATACTGGCAAGCACTGGTTACCCACGGGAATGCTGCTGACATCCTACAAATGACAAGACAGCCACCATAACAAAGAATTATCCAGCCCCAGTATCAATAAGATTGTGATTGAGAAACTCTGAGCAAGATGGTGGCAGTTTAGATGGTGGCAGTAGGGACACCTAACTTAGGATAGGTAGTCAGAGAAAACTCCTCTGAGAAGGTGAGATTTAGGCCAAGCCTTTACTGGTAAGAAACTGGCAGAAATGCAGCAAGGGATAAAGAAACAACCCAGACAGAGGGACTTGAGAACCAAAAACAGCAATGAAAATCCCATTACATTTGTGTGTAGTATATGAATACCCACGTGGAGAGTAGATGGGAGCAATTACCAGGCCTTTCATGCCTCATATTTTTTAAATTAAAAAATGGGTGGGGGGTAATAGTTCAGTGTAGAATGCTTACCCAGCATGCAGCAATCCCTGCCATCATCCCCAGCAAAAGGCACCAAAAGCAGACAGGTTGCAAGAGGGCCACTTGTAAAACTGGCAGAATTCAGACAGCAACCCTGCCGGTGTCCAGATCTTGGTGTCCTTGATGTCGTAATCTGAGGTCAGCCTCTGCCTTAGTCACCCATCTGACCTTCCAGAATAAAAGGATTTCCTAGAGATCACTTGATTTGCAACCAGATAATTTATGTCCAATACCCAGTTTTATGCCTTTTAACTATGCCATGATACGGTGTATTCTTTAAGTTTTCTTGAAGAAAAAATTAGCTTACACAACTAGTTTAAATAAGTGTTCCATAAACTGTAAAAGCATGATACAGACATGGATGTTGAGAATAAAGGAGATACAGGCTGAATTCAATGAACTGGTTTATTTTTGCTCTGTTCCCTGGATTCCAAAACCCACCCAGGTAGAGAGAAGGACTCCCACAAAGGAGAAAGAAGGGTGGGGAAGTGCAGACTTGGAGCAAAGTGATCAAAAACCAAAGTAGTAGAGCCAGTTACATTATTCACGCAGGGAAGAGGAGGAGAATTATTCTGATGGGTTGATAAAATCACCACAAAATGGCTGCAGCCCAGCTTCAGGCCTGGAAAAGACAATGGTCGCTTCTTCAGCAGCCAGCGCCCCTGTGATCTGAAATCATTTAGGTCTCTTGTGCAGTGCTCAGAGCACAGCAGTCTGGATATTTTATGAAAATATCTACCTTTCCAGAGACTAGAAGCAAAAGGGATCCATTCCCCTATCAGACCACAGCACCTGACTGAAATCACACCTAATGAATTGCTGAATGGAGGAATGAAATAAATACATCCTCCAGTCATTTGATGGACCTGGTATAAAAACAATAGGTGCACTTATTGATACACTTTTCTGGTTTATTCATCTGTCCAAAATTCTGCCATTTGAGTTTTTTGCCTTTGGAAAGGTTTGCTGGCCGTGAACAGTAACTTTATAAGGAAGCTATTTATTTCTTTGCTTGGCCTTGAGGCAGCTTCAGAAGATAACACAACAAATGGAACTGTGTGTGCCTGGAAAGAGAAAAAATAATGGTGAAAGAAACGTTTATCAGCACCCCCCCACACACAAGCAACGGACAACGTCTCAAGTTTTACTCAGGCAATTTCCCAATTCAATTTGCATTCATATGAATTCAGCAAATCATATGTGGCAAATATGAGTCCGTAAATACATACGGGTTTTTTTCGTTTAACACTGGAAAAATCTTAAAAGCCGTTGGGTCAGTTTTATGGAGAGGCCCTGGGACATTTAGGGAGCAACAGAGCCAGAAGTGAAATTTGGTTTTCCACTTCGAGGAAAGCAAATAGAAAATATCCTAATTAATTGCTGGCATTCCGAGGTCATTTTCGGGGGTTATTTTCAGAGTTGTAAAGACCCCAGGAACTTTCTTCCCAGAATGCATCAACAGTCCAAAGCTGCCAACAAGCTTGGCTGTAGCCTTGGGAGTGAGGTGGGGTCCATGTGTTGGGGGGAGGGGAAGGCATAAGGCTCCTTGTGTTTCTCTTTGGCGTTCCCGCCAGCTGCAATAACCGCTTCGATATGATTTGCTCGAGCAAAAGGCCGGCCCCCCAGCCAAGGTGAGTTTTAAGTCTCCACCTTTTCCTCCTCCTAATTTGAAAGAGGCTTTTAATTCTCTCCACCCCTCCCCCTTGCCTTGTAAAGTTTGTTTTCAAGCTGTAAACTCGCTTTCCATCTTGGTTGCCTGAGAATCGCATTCATTAGCCAAGTTTACGTAGAGGAAAGAAAAGCTACCTTTGTGTACCTAAGGAGAGCCATCGCGTGGCCAAGGATAAGCACCGGGAAGGAGGAAACATTTTCATCAGCGCTGCGCAAGGTGGCCGGGGGCTGGGTTAAAGGGACCAAAGGCGTGGTCCAGGCATGGCTTCGAAAGTCGTCCAGGCAGCCCCGGCCGCTTTCGAAGTTAGCAAACAAAGCGTCTCCGCAGTAACCGCCCGGTGGCAGACCAGGCTCCTGCCACTCATGCAGCCGCGTCCCAGACCAGCGGCGCCCGCCCCCAGCTCCTCCTCCCCGCGTCTCTCCTCCCTCCTCTCCCTGTTTCCCAGCGGATATGAGCCACCAATCCCAGCAACAAACAACCCTTCAAATGAAAGAGCTCGGCGGCCTCTAACGGGCGGCGGGGACGCCGGCCCCCTCCCTCCGCGCGCCACATCTGTCCCGCATTCGGCCACAGCGGCCGATTCATCTGCAGCCAGGCCCGGGAAGGAGGTGCGCTCCGGGTAGTTGCAGGGTAGCTTCCAGGATGGTGGTTTTTCCCCAGGACCGTGTCCCCCCACCCCCACTCCGACCTCCCCGGGTTGTTTTAGATGTGTTCTCTGTTATGTGCCGAGCAGTAGGCAAACTACGGAAGGGAAAAAAAATCGTAAGGTTACTACCTTCTTAGAGTGACGCTTTTCCCCTCATTGATTCTTTTTAAGTCCTGTAATTGGAAAAACCGCCCATGATTTTTCAACTCTGGCTTTAACGCGCTCTCCGGGCGGGGGCGTCTTTGGGAAGGGGACGCGGGGGAGAGACTGGCTTTAATTTTCAGTGTAATCCTAAAACAGAGGCTCCAAAGTCTAGCTAGTCAAACTCTGGCTGCCGTAGTCTTCCTCGGGTTTAACTTCATTTCCACGGAGGTTTCTCCTGCGGGATCTCCACCGAGGTTACAAAACACCAGCACAGAGCCGAAACTGGAGACCCACAAAGGCGCTGATGTCCTCCACTAGGCTTAGTTATGTGCAGTTTCTTCCTTTCTTTCCTTCTCTCTTCTCTCATTTCTTTCGTCATGGAGAAAGTCTTAGTGTAACATTTGACAATTCATCTGCTTTGCTTCTGAACTACCGGACATATCCACGCGAAAAATAGATCCCGAGGTGGGGCATGCGTGTCTTGAAATCAGCCAAACAGTATCTGTTCTTTTTTCTTTTTTTAAGAGGGATTTCATTAAGAAACTCCTGCTGGAGTCCTAACTCTCAACCAAAATAAACCTACAGGAACATGTGTTTACTTAATGGCTAGTTTCTGTTTGAAATACAGAAGGGGAGGAGGGGTCCCCTAGCGGGTTTAAGTCCTCTAAAAGTAGGCACTGTTTACTGAAACGGATGAGCAGTCACGGCGTGGTCTCCCCTTTCCTATAAAGGCGGCAGCTGCAAGGGTTTGGGGGTGGAGGGGTCGGGCTGAGTCGCTGTGGGGCGGGTGCGCGCCCCGGCAGTCCCCAAGCCGAGACGTTTAAAGAACATGTGAGCATGACAAGTGTCTATTCGCAACGTGTTAGATTTCGAAACTGCCTTGCAATCCAATCCGGAACTCGTAGCTCTAGCCCGGGGAACAGACATTCGCCTAGGGTGCCCATGGCTCATCTCCCCCACTCCCCCGCGCCCTCCACACCTCTCTCTGTCGCTAGAGGAAGAGTCCCGGGAGAAGGGTGCGCCGCGCCGCGCCCGCGTGTCAATGGCAGCCGCGCATTCTGAAAGAAGTTGGTTCTTGTCCCGAATACTTTTCCTCTCGTGCCCCGCCCCTTGAGTCAGAAGCGGCTGTCTTCCGCCGCTTGAGTAGGGACGGTGGAGTTTGGGGCAGCTGTCAAAAACAAGAGGGGGAGTCTTCTCTTCACGGGGGTGGAGGAGGGGAAGGGGGGAGTCCATTTTTCCATCTGTTGCAATTTCCTAACAAAACACACTTTGCTATTCCGGGGAAGAAAGACCCCCCAGGAGAAACCCGGGACGCTCGGCTGGTGTCTCCGCCGTGGTGCGAGGGATGCGGGGGGCGGGGGAAGGGTTCGCGCGCGGCAAGCAGAAAAGATAATGTTTCTGGGCTCCACTATCCCCGCAAGGGACGAGTGACAGCGGGTGGCCGGGTCCCAGCAGCCGCAGCGCCTGGTCCCGGCCACTCGGGCTGGAAGGTGTGGGGGAGGGGCGAGGCGGGGGGTGGGAGAAGGAGGGGGACGGGGCGGGCGGCTGGGGGCGGAGGCAGGACCTCCTGTACCTTCCCTCCTCGCGTCTCACTCTGACAGCGCCGAGGTGCGCCGAGCAGGGCCCGGGAACAAAGGAGCGGAGTGGGGAGGGGAGCGAGTTGGGCGAGGGAGAGCCCCCGGCCGGTTGCCAGAAAGTCCCGGCTGGAGGAAGCCCAAGTGTCACTTGAATTCCACCCCAGGAGCAGGCGCCTGGGATCCGTGCGCCTTGTTTAGCAATAACGGCTGGAGCACGTCCTGTAAGTTACCGGAGAGTCGTCGGTGAAGGAGGACGATCGCTTAAGCCTGTGGCCCGGCTCCTGGACCCTTGAAACCCCAGCCTCGCCACGCGCTGGGAGAGGAGTTCCAGAATGAAAAGCAAGAAAGGTAAGGTGGTCGCGGGCCCTGCGCACCCAGCGCGCGAGTCGGGTGGAAAACGTGCCGGCCACACCGCGCTGGGCTCGGGGCGAGAGTGACTTGGTGGACTTTTCCGCCCCGGGACTCTGAGACTGGAGCGGTGGCCGTTTCTCTTTGTTGGGGCAGTGTCTGGAATGGCAGTTGCTGTTTTCCTTCTAGACACAACACGAGGGGCTGTTGTGGGGAGACGAGCCTCCACGCTGCTGGCACGTTATCAAGTAACACGCTCAGCGCCTTGTTTGTGCGCCTCCAAGTTTCATTGTCTGCCGACACCCCACGCTCAGCCTAGCCGCCGCGTGGCTTCTGACTATCTCGCCGTGGAGTCTGTATCGAGGGAACCCCGCACCTCGCTTTTCCCAGGGGATCCTTGGCGCGACTGGGCCGCGCGCCTTTGTCTGAAAGTTCGGTTATAGGACCCCTACTCCCCCACCGGGCCCTGGTACTCTTCTTTAGCTATGTGGTGTTTTTCACAATCAAAGGAATATGATCCCAGACCCCCACATCGCCCTCGGGTGTGCACAGCTTTGGAAAGCTACATTAAAAAATTACCAGTCTCTGAAAGTTTTCCCACGATCAATTTGGGGCAAGACGAGGAGTTAGGACACAAGGCCAGCAGCTTAAAGCGGCGTGCAGTCAAAATGTGTCCAAGTGTGACAAGCAGGCTGGGCTGTAAGTGCAAAGAGCGAGGCTGTCATTGTTTCCACGAAGGGTGCTGGAAGCCTTACAACTAAAACTTGCCTTCAGTCTGGTTTAAAAACAAAATACACGGTGTGTGTGTGTGGGGGGGGGAACACCCTGAAAGGTCAAAGACTGTGAAGTCCCTTTTGAAGTTAACTTTTGAGTCCCTGCTGGGAGGTCCCCCGAGTGTTCCATCGTGGACTGGAGTTGGCTTTTCTGTTGTGATTTATGTGGAGTGGTTCAAAACAGAAGTTAATCGTTGGGGGAAGCAGCGGGAGGGGGCGCTGCTGCGCATGCCCAGGAGCTTCCTCGAGTTTGTAACTCCACATTCTTCCAGACCCAGACGCGACTGCATTTCCAACTCAAGATTCTAGGGGGACTAGCCGCACACCCAACGAGGTCCCTTCCGCTGCGTCTCTAGAGTTCTGTTGATGTGATTGTGTGGGAGACCAGAAACACGCAGAGCTTCCCATTGTCCCCCAGGCTTTCCCAGCGAGACTGAAATGAAACGTGAAAACCCAGGTCACTAGGTAGTAGGACTCCTGCGGAGCCCTCCCCAAGGGACCGAGTGAGAACGAGAGCCCTTAAGGTTGGGGACGTTTAGCTGGGCTCTTGAGACAGCTGGGGCGCCTCTGTAAAGCCGCGTCGCTCCCTGGTGGGGCTGATAGGTCCAGACCCTTAAGGGAAAGTCCTCTTGGTTCCGGTGGCGCCCGCCGCCCTAAGTGGGAGTTCTGGTTTTGCAGAGTGGTTTGAGTACACGGAATGCAAAGATGGGCTTCCGCTGGGGGCGAACGCTCGCCCCCCCACCCCCATTGTTCGGACTCGGGTTGGCTACCCTCCTCCCCTTCCCCGTCCCCACTCGCCCCCTCGCCCCTCCCCAGTGCGCCCCATCCCCCGCCCTGTTGGGGGTCTCCTCCAGAACGCCCCCTCCCCCAGCCGAAGACCCGGGTTGGGACTGGTAAAGGGGTTCGGGGAATAGCCGCGGTTCCCAGCCTTGGGCGTGCTGGAGTCCCACGATCAGCGCCGACTCATGGAAACAATGAAAGGTGACGTGTTGGAGGGGAAACTTTGCGACTGCTCCGCGGCTCGTGGGGGGGACGAGACTGCGGGGGTGGCCCGGGTTCCTTTCCCTTTTTAAGTTTCCCTAGCACATGGTCTGGGATCGGGGACAGCCTTGAGAGTGTGGGATTTACAGCCCCATTTCGAGTTCCTCAGTGACCTGGAGCCCCGGAGGTCCTCGGTCCTGCCAACTCGTACAGTTAGTTTGCTGGCGAGTTTCAGTTGGGGCTGAGCAACTCGCAAGAACAAAAGCTGCTTGCTTTCCTCCTTGGGCTCCTCCCTCCTCTCTCCGCGAGCCTCCGCCGCCCTGCCTCCCCCGGCCTCAGACTACCTGGGAGGGGAGAGCTTCCCGGTACTTAAAACAGGTCCCGCCTATTGTCTGTCTTAGAAAAGGCTGGACATCTTTTCAAGTTTCCTTAAAACAAAGACACTTTCAACTCGAAGGGGGGGGGTTTAGTAAGACTGATGTGTGATAATGATGTGTCCTGTTAGGAAGTTGAACATTAAAAGACCTACGTTGGTTTAAAAAGCAGAACAAGGCTCAGTGTAGTCTTTTTGCTTTCAGTTTATGGTCGTGTTGGATTCTGGCTTTAGGATCACTCTGCCTGGGTCCGCCAAGCGCACGGCGGATTCAGTGACTTGGCATTAAGTTTGGTTCCTGTTGCTTCTCCAGAGCGCGCATTCAGGCTAGAAATGTGTTAGGTTGGGTCTGCTTTTTCCTAGTTAAACTTTTCCTTTGGTCTGTTTGCTTGATTCTTTTCTGTTCTTTAATAAAATGTTTTTAAAAGCCAACATCACCACCACTATCCCCTCCTCCAGCCCCCACCTTGATGTTTCAGAACTATTTAGAAAAAGAAAGTGCAGCAACGGGATTGCTTCTCAGAGCCGTGGAAGCCACAGGCCATCTTGTGACTTTCTAAACAACATTTCCTTGTATGTGGAATGGAGTAAGAGGCTTGTGATTCCGTGCGCCCCCCCCCCATCACTCCAACCCCTCCCCCGCCGCCCAACCACATTTTTTTTAGAGTGTAAGCAAAGCAAGGCGTTTGGAAACAAGTCGTAACCGGGAAACTTTTCAAAAGCTGTGTTACAGTAGGAAATGAGTAACGAGAAAAAGTCTTTTTGTTTTTCCAAGTTGAGCCACAATCAGGAGGGAGTTTTAATGAAAACAGTCCTGACAGCGGCCAGCGTGGTTTAGCTGCAGTGAAATAGCTGGCCGTCGCCAAGGCTCTGAAGTCCTCACTTCCTGTTCCTTAGGCTTTTGTGCACATATTGGAAATAGCTGTTAAGAGGTCCAGAGACCTGGCATTCTTTTTTTTTTTTTTTTTTTTTTTTTTAAGCCAAAACAACTGAGAACAGTAAAGTCGCCCTGCATTTGGGTGTTGCTTAACCGAAACCTGCTTTGTGTCACTAACCTATTCTGAAAGATCTAGCTGTTTGTCAAAGTAAGCAAGCAGATCAAAGGGCAGCTTCGGGGCGGGAAGGGGGGGGGGTTGTTTCAAACTCTGTTATTACCAACTTACAGTTGGGAATTCACTATTCATTGAGCAAATTTTCACAATTTTTCTAGATTATAAAAAGGGAGGGGAATGATTGCCTTGAAGAATGTCAGGTTTTAAGTTAAGAGAGTTTCAACAAATTGCTTCATTCAAATTTGCTTTAGTTTTTCAATTACCTTGACATATGTTTAAGTGTGAGGTTTCCTTAGTTATCAAAGCAAGTGTGAAGCAGGAACTCATTTCTAATTTAAGAATTTTTTTTAATTAATAGTCCTTCACCCAGATTTCAGTATGGGTTTTGAAAGTTTTTCTACTCAGCGGTGAAAGCAGTTTCAGTTGTAAATGTGCCCTTTCTTTAAACTTTTTTTAGAAAAAGTTAATTAAATCTGCAAGGCAGGGAAGCTTAAATGTTTGGCAGTTAAAACGTGGATTCTTGCGTGGTTTGTTTCATGGCCGTTTGCTATGCCTTGAGCTACGGTGAATTTGCAACATCATCCACCTCTTTTGTTAGAACTTGCTCTACTTTGTCTTCGGAGCGTTTTTTGGTTTGTTTTTTTTTTTGCCCTTCCTGGAAGAACGCCCTCCCTACCTTCTGCCCCCTGCAGTCCAAAACTAAGTGTGTCACCAAGAAAAGTCAAAAGCCAATTGGTTAAAAAAAGAATTCCTTTAAAATGCATGCTGGGATGTGTCGCTATGAAGAATATTCTGTTTTTATTTTCTGTCACAGTAAACAGACTCAGTTAAGATTGTGGCATTATTTCATCCAAAAATACATGCTACAGAGAAAAATGGTATACAAAAGCAAAAGATGTATACCTTTATTTCCCTAATAAAATATTTTTATTGGCATTTTTCAAGCATGGTTTTAGTTTTATGAATTATAAATTCTAGATTGTCTTCAAAAATTATTTCTTGAGTCATTTAGTTGCCTCATAAGCTTTGAAAAGTGGGATTAATAGCATTTGTTACTTAATTTTTTTAGGTTTAAGATGATGTTTACATGTAAAAGTCAGGCTGGTCTGAATTTTCATTGAACTCTACCTGATTTAATATATTCTGTAGCTTGTGAATTCTTAAAATTTCTGGTAGGATTGAAGTACTTAGCACCAAAAGAGCTTCCTTTGGAGGGTGCATATTCAATGTTCTTTGTCACCTAAGAATTTACGACTGAACTGCTTATCGGTAGGTAGTATTCTAGGTTCATTTTAGATTGGCACTGAAATTTAGAATAGCTTTACATTTATTCAGTATTAGGCATCTTTTGGCCTTTTACTAAAGTGCTAATACTAGAAGAATATTTGTGAAAATGTAACAAAAAGTGTCTAGGACCTAATTTTGAATAAATGCAGATAAGAAAAAGAAGTGACTGTAGTATTAGCAGAAAAATTTAGCAAGCATTTCACCTTGAAAGATTAAGTATATAATTTTCCCTTTTTACATCAGTGAAAAAAGTACCATCCTACTTTTTATTTTAAGCTTTCAGTAGGAGGAGGAAGAAAAACACAATGTACATTTTTCCTACTTAGCAGTGACCTTGAAGAAAAAGTTGTGAGACACTGGGGACTGCCCAGCACCCTTCCAGTCTGAAATGTGGCAAGTTAATCATGTTGAGTGCAGTTTGACTTTTCTGATGAGGGACTCCTGACGTCATGCAGAAGGAATGTGAGAAGTTAAATCCTAGAGGATAGCCTCTAGGAATGAGCAGGTGACACTTGGTTGAGAGTCTACTGTGAGAGTCAGTCCCCTCTACTTCACATGGACTGTAGTTGAGAAAGCACAATGACTCTGAATGGTCACAATAAATGAGCTTGGCTAGTGACAGCTGGCCTTTGTCCTTTCCCTAGGTGGTGTTGCAGCCTCAGGCAGCGAGACTGAGGATGAGGACAGCATGGACGTTCCCCTAGATCTTTCCTCTTCCGCCGGCTCAGGCAAGAGAAGGAGACGTGGCAATCTGCCCAGGGAGTCTGTTCAGATTCTGCGGGACTGGCTTTATGAACACCGATACAACGCCTATCCCTCAGAGCAAGAAAAAGCATTTCTGTCCCAGCAGACACACCTGTCCACGCTACAGGTAAGGAGAGGGAGCACAAAAAAGTCTATGCACGGTCCCTTCCCTCCCTGCACCCTGGGGGTGAGGGAGAGCCCTTATGATTGCTAGTGAGGCACTGTATGTACTACTGAGCTATACCCTGTGTCCTATGCACACATTTTTCCTTTTTTTTTTTTTTTTGGTGGTACTGGGGTTTGAACTTGGGGCTTCAGGCTTGTTAGGGAGGTGCATTCCTGTGTGTCAAGTGTTTAGACTCCTCCCCCTACACACACTCCAAAAAGAGAAAAAGGACTATCTTTTCATTGTAAATACTATAGTGCTAGAAGCTAATAACTGGCTAGAGCACACACAGAAACACTTGACAGTCATCTGTCAGATAGCATTTCCTTTAATGCCAAAAAGAGACTTCCTTTATGCAACAGACATAAAAAGGTTAAACCTTACTCCATTGCCCAGGAAACTGGCTTGATATTTGAACAAGGACAGACCTCAGTGAGGTAATTCATGTTAGGTCTGTTGACACAGTCATCTGAACTGGGAAAAATCAGTTACTGGTAGGTGTGGCACTTTTCATACAAGAAAGGTTTTCCTGTAGTTGATTAACTTCAATCCTGGGGCAGTAGGTAATAGGTTAAAATGGGGAGTTAAAGGTAAACCTTTCTCCCTCAAGTCATTGTCAGGTATTTGGGAGTTCATACCTCTTTCTCCCTCCTGAAAAGGACCAAAAGCAAATTTATATTAGGAGAGGAAGGAGGTTTTATGGCAGGAGGCAGGTCTGTTTTTTGCCTAGGCTCATAATTTGGAGTAACTTTATAGGTCTAGATAAGCCTTTGTAGGCCTCAGAACCTGTTTGCTGAGTGAATATTAAAGCATACCAATGTGATTTCAGGTCTGTAACTGGTTCATCAACGCCCGCCGGAGGCTTCTCCCTGACATGCTGAGAAAGGATGGCAAAGATCCCAATCAGTTCACAATTTCCCGCCGTGGGGCCAAGATTTCTGAAACTAGCTCTATGGAGACCACGATGGGCATCAAAAACTTCATGCCAGCTCTAGAGGAGAGTCCATTTCATTCCTGCATGGCTGGTCCCAGCCCAACTCTAGGGAGGCCGCTGTCTCCTAAGCCATCATCCCCAGGATCAATTTTGGCTCGCCCATCAGTGATCTGCCATACGACTGTGACTGCATTGAAAGACGGGCCTTTCTCTCTCTGCCAGTCGGTCGGTGTGGGACACAACACAGATATGCAGCAAATAGCAGCCAGCAATTTTACAGACACCTCTCTCATGTACGCAGAGGATACTTGTAAATCTGGACCGAGTACAAACACACAAAGTGGCCTTTTCAACACTCCTCCCCCTACTCCACCAGACCTCAACCAGGATTTCAGTGGATTTCAGCTCTTAGTGGATGTTGCACTCAAACGGGCTGCTGAAATGGAACTTCAGGCCAAACTTGCAGCTTAACCCCTTCTCCCAGCAAAACAGCTCTGGAAAAAAATATTGTCATGATTGCCGGGGTGATGACAAGAGAAGAATTGCATTATTTTATATATTTTTTTAATAATATTTGCACATGGGATTGCTAAAATGAAGCTTCCTGTTACTCAGACGTCTTCAGTGGAATACAGTCATTCCAAGAACTGTAAACTCAAGGCTACTGTAGAAACAAAGGGTTTTCTTTTGTAAAATGTTTCTTGGTAGGTTATTCATAATGTGAGCTATTTCCCAATATCATGTGATTTTTTTTTTTTCCTCCCCTGTCCCTTTTTTGTTGGTGTTTTTCAGACTGTGCAATACCTAGAGAACTGTAGCATCTGTTCATTCCTGAGTGAAACAGGATGCTCACATTACTGTCTTAATTAATAAATTTTCAGTTTTTTTTCAAACAAGTATGAATCTAGTTGATTGATACCTTTTTCATGATGTAATAAAGTATTTTCTTTAAAAGTTACTGTAATGCAGAGTATTTTGTTGCTAAAAACTAGGAATATTTGTGTGTGCAAGGCCCTGGGTTCAATCCCCTCCACTACCAAAAAAAAAGAATAGGATTGTGGCTCCCCAACTGGGAAGTTGGGGGTAGGCTGGGGTATGAGTGGGGGTGGGGGAGTTACTAGGTCTTTGAAGATCCATACAAGCCAGTATGTATAAACAGGATGTGTGATATTTACTCTTGACAGGAGGCATAACAGGCCCTTGAATCTTCAAGCCAAAGGACAAACTGAGATGAATCACTTCATCATTGTTTACCTAGCCACTAAACCCTTAGTGATGTATCCTGTGTGTTTGAAAATTGGGCCACATTAAATGAAAAGTCTTGAAGCAACTGGTGTGACCTGCGTTTTCAGAAATGAACCACACAAACGGGTTGCCCTTTAAAACAGCCTTTGTTCAGGGGTACAGCTAAGTAAGGCCTTTGCATCCAAATGCAGCATTACTTTGTAAAGAAATCACTGTTTAAAACATTTTAGGGCTGGTGGAGAGGCTCAAGTGCTAGAGTGCCTGCGTAGTAAGCATGAGGCCCTGAGTTCAAAGCCCAGTACCACCAAAAAAAAAAAATTTTGAAGTGTTCTTAGGCTGGCAGATTGGCTCAAAAAGTAATAGTGCCTGCCTAGCAAGTGTGAGGCCCTGAGTTCAAACCCCAGTGCCACCAAAAAAACAAAAAAAAAAAACCCACATAAAGTTTCTAAAATGATGAAATAGTTAATGAGTTTCTGTCCATACTGGTATTTAGTTAGGTAGTCATTTTCCAAGGTCTTAAGTCTATAAAAACTGGGTATATACAAGAGGAGATGGTTGGGTTACACAGTTCCTTACAAAGCCTACATGGCCAGAAGGGCTTGTGTCCCTTTCACCTGTCACATACCACTAAGCCATTCTTAGTAGCCAGGCTTAGCTTCTTTGAGGGTAGTCATGCTCTTTATAGCTCTGCCCAGCTATGAATTGTCCGAAGTTTGAGGGCGCATCACAGCTTCGGTATTTAAGGAATGTAGAAATTTTTTCCACATTAATTTTGCAACCCTTTCTAGAAAGTCTCTATTGTAGTATTATAGGAAGGGATAAATGCAAGGCTTATTTTATTTTGGTAAGTGAAAAACTGACAATAACAACCCAGAGGTGTTAAGACAATGAAGTGAGGAAAAGGTGTGTTCCAACCAGTAGGAGTGGGATGCTGTTGGAAGGCTCTTAGTCTGGAGTGGGTTGGTCCTACCTCCAAGCAAACAAAGGTGAATAAAAATCATTGGTTAGCCTTCAGTGGTTCACACCTTTAATGTCAGCTATACTGGAGGCTGAGATGGGGAGGATCTCAGTTTGAGGCCAACCTGGACAAAACGGAAGACCTCCATCTCTAAAAATCTGTGCATGGAGTCTGTCATTCCAACTATGATATGGGAAGCATAAACAGGAAAATTGCAGTCCAGTCACACCTGAGCATAAATAAGAGACCCTATTTGAAAAACAACTAAAGCTAGAAGGGCTAGGGGCGTGGCTCTAGTGGAAAAGTATCTGCATAGCAAGTGCAAGGTCCTTAGTACAAAAAAAAGAAAAAAAAAATCGCTTGCTTCGGTGGCTGGAACAAAAGTCAGTTTTTTAATCAATCACACTTAAAGGGGGAGAAATGGACCAAAAAAGTATGAACGGGGATAGAGCTCAGTGGTAGAGTTCTTGTATAGCATCCAGAGTTTGATTGCCAGCAAAAAAAAAGGGGGAAAAAAAGAAAAATGAGCGCTTCTTGAGTTTAAACCCCAGTACCACAAAAATATCAAGGGTCAATGACATCCAGAGGTTTTTCAAAAAATAAAGCAATTTAATGTTTTATATAATTTTCTCCTTGAGGTTGATATAGATCTTGGTTAATAATAGATGATAAGCCATTATTTTAAAATAGGTAAATTAAATCAAAAGGTAATGTATAACTGCTCATAGCCCAGCATCATGGTACATATCTACAGCCCCAGAACTTGGGAGGCTGAGGCAAGAGAATCAGGAGTCCCACTGGCCATGGCTATGTGGTGAGATGCTATGTCAAAACACAATAAAGAGGGCTGTGAAATGGCTCAAGTGGTAGAGCGCCTGCCTAGCACTCTGTGAGGCCCTGAGTTCAAACCCCAGTACCACAGTAAATAAATAAGTAAACCTACTCATACCAAAGCCAAATAGAAATTATTTTTATACTTACTATTTACATCACAAGCCCTTTTAATTTGCTTACTTTTAAACTATTTGTGCTTTTGTGTTTAAAAACATCTCAGAGCATATACAATTGGGTCTTGCTTTTTGTCTAGCCTGAGGATCTCTGCCTTTTTACTTAATGTGTTTAGTCACTTTACACCTAATATGGGAATTCAATTCACCATTTGCCTTTTTTTCTTTTTCTGTTCTTTTTTCCTGTCTTGTTTCATGGCAGTTGAATATTTTTTAGTTCTTTGTCTTAATATTCCTATTGGCTTGTAAACTATATGTCTGGCTTTTTTTTTTTCTTGAGACAGAGCCTCCCTCTGTAACCAAGGTGGCCTGAAATTCAACAGTCCTCCAGCCTCAGTCTTCCAAGTGCTAGAATTACAGGATTTGAGTCATCATTATAGGCTATTTCTTTTGAATGGTTGTTATAGGGATTACAACATACATTTAATTTATTATCATCTGAGTGTTAACACTATACAACTGCATGTTAAATACAGAACCTTACAGCAGTATAGTTATATTCTCTTCCTTTGGTTTTTATGTACTACAGCTACATACATGTTAAACCCAACAATACGACCTGTAATTATTGCTTAAAACAGGCTTGTGTTTTGTAAATAAGAGAAAAACTTCATATATACATATGAATATTTACCATTTCTAGTGCTCTTCATTCCTTCTTGCAGATCTCAGTGACAGCTGGTGTCATTCTTCTTAAACTTGAAGAACTTCCTTATCTGGGCACCAGTGGCTCAAGCTACTTGGGAGGTTGAAATCAAGAGGATCAAGGTTTGAGGCCAGCCGAGACAAATAGTTTGAAAGACCCCATCTCCAAAATAACCAAAGTAAAATGGGCTGGAAGTGTGGCTCAAGAGGTAGAGTGTCTGTTTTGTAAGTGCAAAGCCCTGAGTTCAAACCCCAGACCCACCAAAAAAAAAAAAAAAATCCCTTAAGAATTGTACTACTGGCTGGGTACAATGTCTCACTTCTGTAATTCTAGCTACTCTGGAGGTGGAGATTCGGAGGATGGAGGTTTGAGGTCAGCCCAGGCAAAAAGTGAGACTTCCCTCAACAAATAAGTTGCACGTATCATCCCAGCTAGGGTGACAAAGAGCTTGGTTTATCGCCTCAGCAACTCTCTTAAGTAGGACCATGGGCCAGCCACCCCAACTCCAGCAAAAATGCAAGACCCTGTCTAAAAAGTAATGAAGCAAAAAGGACTGAAGTGTGGTCCAAACTGTAGCATGCAAGTGAAAGGCCTTAAGTTCAAACCCCAGTACTACAAAAAAAAAAAAAAAAAAGGTGGATTCTGCTGCCTTCCTGTGAAGAGTTAATCAGAGTAACTTTGGCTGGTCTGAAACTTCACTCGGTCCCCTGAAGTTCTTTCAGTTTCCAGCTGACATTCGGTGGGCCACCAGGTCTCCCTTCCACAAGTTGAGATGCACCATCTGCTGCTCCCTCCTTGCCAAACTACCTCTCTTAACTTTCCCAAACTTTTTTTAATTTAAATGTTATCTTTGAATTATCATGCATTAATAACGTGGAAATCTCACTGTAATAATTCTACATATGACTACGCTGCACTTTGAACAATTCCACCCCTTCTGTTATACCCCCATTCTCCCTCCCCCTCCCCCACTTTCCAGTGGCATTTGGTGGGTTTCATTATACTGTCGTCACACATTCTTCCATCCTCTTCTCTCCTCAGGAGCCTTCATTTCCTTCTCCCTCCTCGCACAGATTCCCCAGACAGTCCCCCGTATACATTCATGTCTCATGTCCCATTATTATTATTATCACCATTGTTGTTCTAAGTTCCACAAACGAGCAAGAACATGCAATATTTGGCCTTTTGAGCTTGGCTTATTTTGTTCAGCAACCCTCTTAACTCTTCTACTGTGCCCACCCCTGTTTCAAGCCACTAAGGCTACAGCTTATAGCCACCCCTGGCCTCCTGAAGAATGAGGACTACAAACTTCTACATCTCTTTTTTTTGGGGGGTGAGGGGCAGCACTGGGAGTTGAATTCGGGGCATCACACTTCCTATAGAGGTGTTCTTACAGCTTGAGCTACTCCACCAGCCCTTTTTTGTGATGGTTTTTTCAAGATAGGGTCTCAAACCACAATCTTCCTGATCCCTGCCTCCTGAGTAGCTAGGATTGCAGGCATGAGCCACCGGTACCTGGCTCAAACTTCTACATCTTAAAGTTCCAGCTTCTGCACACTTTTTGGCAACCAAGCCTCTATTAGCTTTTAATTAAGTATTTAGTTCATAGTTTATGGCTGTAACCTAGAGATGGATTAGACTGGAAAAGAAAAAGTCTCCACTATTACTAGAAAAAAGAGTTTTACTCTAGTTACTTTGAAACTCTAAATCTGTTTAGATTTTGTTTGGTTTTGACACAGGGTCTGGCTCTGTAGCTCAGGATGGCCTTGAACTCTGGCCTGTCTCAGCCGCTCAGTACTGGATTACAGGTGTGCATCACCACATCCAGTTTAAATTAGTGGTTTCCAAACTTACCTGCATTTTGCAATCATCTCAAAAACTTAAAAAAATACTAGGACTCAGGACTGGGAATTAAACAGGTTTGGGAAGCCTCTGACCTGAATAATTCTTTAAATTAGCCCTTGTTTCTCTTCTAAAGCACGCTATTAGGAGGTGATCATTATCTTTCCAGATTAGTAAAAAAGATAAATTTTCGTACTCTTTGTTTGGGCTTCACTATGTAAAGTCTAGCCCCTAATTTATAGCCCCTAAAACACTG